GACCTAGGACCGAAGCGAGATGACGAAAGTGGAGGGGAGTGGCCGGTGAGGGAGGCCATCGGCAGCATGATGTGGGTGTCGACGTTCTCGCGCCCGGACATCTCGTTCGCTGTGCGTGCGGTAGCGCGCCACGCCCACGCCCCTGCCGAGAGGCACTGGAAGGCGATACGGAAGATCCTCGCCTACCTCAAAGAGACGAGGGACCTCGGGATCACCTATAAACGGGGATCGGGGCTGGGGCTGGCGGTGTACGTGGACGCTAGCTACGCCGACGCTGAGGATAGACGTTCGGTGTCAGGGCTGGCAACAACGGTTGGAGGAACCGTCATCAGCCACGGTAGCAAGACGCAAGCTATCGTATCTTTGTCGTCTACGGAGGCAGAGTACATTGCTGCCGGAGAGGGTGTGAAAGAAGCTTTGTTTGTGCGTGCAGTGCTTTCGTTTATTGCCCCAGAGACCAGCGGCGGTAGCATCCAGGTCCTTGAGGACAATCAGGGGGCCATGGCTTTGGTGCAGAACCCCCTTAGCTCAGCGCGTAGCAAGCACATCGACGTGCGGTACCACTTCATTCGTGGATTGTTTAGGTCGGGTGACGTCTCGATCAAGTTTGTGTCGACGTCGGAGCAACATGCAGACATGCTCACCAAGGCTCTTAGCAAGAGCAACCTGCAGTACCACCGGAAAAAGCTGATGAATTTGCCGGAGCTTCTGTAGGATTTTCTAGCGCTTGGGGAAGGTCATGTATACCATGCGGGGAAAGGTGCATTACTGTCGCGGGCTGTGTCCCAATGGCAGGAGTAGGAGGCTTGCCTCGCATTCTTGTCTTCGCCTTGGCCTTCCTGATAAGTGCGGCCGTTGTGATCCGCCGTGATAGCAATGGTTTGTGTTGGATGGGATTTATTTTCGAGGGGTTTTGCCCGGGCGCCGGGTTTCCCCTCGACCACCGTATTGGCATTTTATTGATGTATCCGGGGTGTTTTTGCCCCACTGATGGTTAGTCACTTGCGTGAAGAACCAGGGAGGGTGTTCGTGGGTCTACGGACATGGTTTGGATATGTTAGCCGTACGTACAAGTGTGACGCAGATGGTGTAGAACCTTTTAGGTAGGGGTACGGTGATGATGCACCGGGGCCCCCTTTTGTTGTGTGCAGCAGCCCTGCTGCCACTCCTCCTTTCTGAGCACGACAGCGCCCTGGGTACGGGCGTTGCCTCACCGTCTGAAGTTAATACACTACACAAACAATACCCGATAAGTACGCGGAGTACGGCCGACAAACATGACCTTGTGTTGTGGGCCGTTCCACTGAGATTTCCCCAAAAAGTGTTTTGGAGGGGGGTGATGCCGGACAGCCCCCCCTGGGAAAATACCTCTGGCTGATACACCAGCGCTTTGCTTCATCTACAGTTAGCGTCTCTTGTGTGCAGAGCTCGTGGCACGTTGCAACACACACCAGAAAATGTTTTTGTGCATTCGTTTGCTTTTCTACTGCCGCACCTGTTGCGGAACACTTTTGCTTCTCTTCTTCCCCCCCCCCCAAACAAAAATAACAGATGATTATCTACGACGCCTTTGCTACTGATGTATGGACATGCATGCCGTCGTGCCGAGGCATCGGGGATAGCGGGCGTTTCTCCCAGACCGAGATCGAGACCGCCTTGGTCGGCCACCGAGATGACCGGGGCCGGTGGTGGCGGCGGAGGCGGTGCTGCTGGGGATCATCAGGGCGGGAAGACCGGGGGCGCAGTAGGGGAGGGGGGGAGGGGCGGGGGCGCTATAGACGGAGAAGGCGGTGGAGATGTGGCTGCTCGAGCAGCCCGTGTTCTCGGCTCGCGACCTCAACGGGTATGTACGTTTTCGATTGGCTGTCATGATATACGTTTTTTCGCTACGGCAGGCCTTGCAGTCGGTGGTGTTTATACCCTGTGGGGTACACATCATTGGACTGGCGCAATTGTTGGAGCCTCACACTCGGACAACCTATCGCATCCCGCGTGCTTTCACAAGGCTTCCAAGGCCGACAATTTTTTCTTCCGTCTAATATACCAGACAGCAGTGGCAGTGGTTGAGGGACGAAGACGTCTTGTCTTTTTCTTGCGAAGACAGATGCTTGTCCTCCTCGCGGACGAGTGATGACGGTTCAGCTAGCGCAAACGTCTCGCTAGGCGCGCAGAGGAGGAGACAGATACCGGAGCAACATTAACATTGTCCCGCAATATCCGCCATGCTTTTGGGCTGATCGACGGCGGTTGTATTATCGAGTTCATGGATCACGGTGTGGCATCCTACCTAGCATTGGTTAGAGACAGTGCCGCAACGAACATTGCTAGCATTGATCCACCGCAGGTGGGGGGCGTGAGTGGCCGTTGCCTTCCGAGAAAGAAATAGACTTACGGCTGTTTTCACCGTCGTGATACCACAAAATTCAGTCCACTTACGGCGCGATACTGCTGTTCTCTCTCACCATGCAGTGCCGAAAAGCGACTTCGGACAAAAGTTTACATGAAAACTACGAACACTCAAGCCTCTTCGGCGAATCCCCGAAACAGTATTTGGGACGCGCGGTCCCGACATTCGCCTCGGTTTACAGAGAGCGAGGGCAATCGTCCCGCAAGAAGAACTGCGTGTCTCCTCACGTGAGAACAGGAGGGCCAGGCAAAAAGCAAGCGGAAGGGTGGACCAGGCCAGTTTTGGCGCGTTCGCTCAAGACGTGGATCTACGGTAACTGCAATTCGCGAACAAAGCGAGAGGGCAGCACCGCAAGAACAAACCGCAGATTGGAGGGATTGGCCGGGGTCGTTATTGTTATTATAGTGTATCGAAAAGAAGAACGAAACCATTCTAAAAAAACTCGCGCTCTCCCGTTTGTTCGTTGCGAGTACGTGCTGTAGTAACTAAAAGGTGACTTGTGGTTGTTGGTGGTGTTGTGTTTTTTCTGTGTTTTTTGTGTTGAAGCCATCTTAGAACCAAGCGCCCGAAAATAACTTGGGTCTATTTGTGAGGAACGGCTTGGCAGATGCAACCCCTGAGGTGAATACACCCCGGCCTTGGGATACAGGGGTACAACCAGGTGAATTTTGTAGTAGCAGTATTTTTGTGCTGCCTTGATTGTGGTCTTGGATTTTTTTTTTTCGTCTGGCATCACGTGCCGAGCAGGAGCAATGGGTTCCATACACTCGACCAGAACCGGACTCGAATGAAGGAGCTCCTTGTGGAGGTTCGGTGTACAGTAGAGGCACTTGTATGCAGTGTTGGACAAGTATGTACAGCCCTTTTCAACTCTTCGGTTGGGCCAACAAGTCCGTCTTCCACTCCTCCCTTTGCGCTCCCATTCTTCGTAGTCATGTCTTTTGGCATTTACAGAAACCGGAGCAAAACTGGCAGAGTTTCCTGAGGGACGACCTCGAGATGTTCGAGGCAAGGCACGGATCTACGGACGCCGAGCCTGCTTCTTCGGAGTCCCGCAAACAACTTGGACGGAAGCAGCGAAGGTGGAGCGGGATGTGCCATGGCAAACGGGGGTACTGTAGGGAACTAAAAGGTTTATGACCTCCTGGAACAAGGATGAGGAGGAGGCTAGCCCACAACGCGAGCACTCAAACGATACAACAAGCCCGGCAACAACACGGACATGACAACAACCAGTGGGGCGGGCGGGAGGCAGCAGACGGACGAGACGGCGAGGGTAGAGAGCAAACGAGACGAGGCGGAATGAGTGGCGCGACATGTGCCGGATTGAACCCCTTCATTGACTAATCCCCCTCTGCCCCCCCCCATCACTTCACAGTTGCACCAACGCCCCACGAGCGATGATGTGCCTTTGCTGTCTCGGGTGGGCGTTTTTGGTTTAAATTTTTGTCGCTACAATGGTGGTTCTGGCGTGTGTCTTTCTCTTCTTCTCCCTCCCTCTGTTTCCTTTTTCTTTCTCTTCCAGTCTAGGATTGCCTCGCGTAGCGTGTCGAGGGGAGCGGAGGATTCTAGGCTATATGTTGTTGAAATCTTTTGACTTGCGGACCCTTCGGGTCCATTTTGTATTTTAGCGTATCTTTTTCGGGCGCGTTAGCCTGTGACCACGGGTATCGACCGCGTCAAGTCTTCGACTAGTACGGACAGATGAAGGTACTGGGTGGAGAGATCCGAACGGTTATTAGTGTGAAGACAGCAACAACAGCAGTGATACCATAGTTGTACCTGGCTCTGACTCGACCAAAAACACCGATTTGAAATAAATACAACCAAGCAGCAGACGCATTCGCTAAACAGGATCCATGACGTGAGAGAGTGCAACCCCCCCGAAAAACAATGCCGTTGATGTTGGTTTATCGCAATTTTACATGATGTTATCCTGCGAAACCAAGCCAAAATACTACAGGGTTAACTACCACTGACAGCAGTCCGTCGGATGTACAAACTAGATGTTACACACCTAAATATTCCTTTGCATAGCGAGCGGTGTACACGATTCCTCCCCACCTCTTAACTCACACCACAACACACCCCGCAAAAGACCTGGTGAAGTCGCCAACAAACACGCAAACAAATAAAATCTACAAATAATTCGCCGCCAGCGGTGGTAGTGTCTTTTCTCTTCCTTTCCTTGCCTTGTACATCACGAAAGCCACACCGATCCACCGCCCCGCCACGATCAGGGAACCGTACAACAGGAACAAAATAGGCATCATCACTGCACTACGGCGCCAGTCAAGCCATGCCTCATTGGCACCAAGAAGATGTGTAACCCATGTACCAGCCTCTAAGGGCGCTTTACGTGGCCTTGTCTTTGCCCAGCCTTGTGAGGGGGTGGGTGCATGTGCGTCTTGTACAAACCCTCCACAAATTTCGCCTGCACTCTCCACCATCTCCCATCCTATAAGGCGGGAGACAGATGTCCTCTTCGCTCTGCGCGGGTGAGTTTACGGTGATCTCACCCACAAGTTCGCAAAAGCACCGAACCGATGGCATCTCGAGCAACCAATCTAACGAAGGGAGATTGCATTCCGACTACATGTACGACACCATCCTCCGCCAAGAGGCAGCAACCAGTCAATCAACCCATGGGCAGAACCAAACATCAACCTCATCGATGATGGTTCACAAGCAACTGTAGCCAAACGCCCTCACAGGGCGCTCGATCGATCAATTGCACCCCAGAGAACAAGAAACAATCTCTGACTAGCTCAAATCGAAGCCCCGTGGCGCGAATCGTCTCGAAGCAAAGTCCAAAGTGCATACTAAATACTTTTCAGGGTACTAGACCAAAGAGTGTGCGTCTTAAAAAAGCATAGACTACTGGAGTAAATGTTAATGTTTCATAGATGCCGAGAGAGAGAGGGGCAGGACACCAACTAATTAGACTACCGCTGTGTGAGCACTCCACTCCACAGGGAAACAGCTAAATAGCCGAGATCGTTGCCGAAACACACACCCAGCTGCCAATGGTTATTCGTTGACTGTCGGACGACACAGCTTGCCTTCCGGGGATAATGAGGAGGCCAGCAACCGAAGAGCAACAACAAAAACAAAAGAGATACTGCGTACCAACACAAACACAGCTACGTGTGCCGGGACTATACTGGTCGAATCGCCCCCAAGATTCAACATCATCGTTTTAGGGCTCTAAATTATTTTACCTTTTTCAAGGCAACAACAAAAAAAAAGTCTACGGGGAAAACCGAAAATGCGCCACGCCCTTTCCCCGCTCCCGCGTCTCTCAAAGCAACCTGTGCCGCCTTGTCGAGCCCTGTTAGCCGACCCAACCTTGGAACCCAGCGCCGATGCTCGCGTTAGGGCTGCGTCATTACTCCTTGCCTTCCTCCAGAGAGACAGCAGGTGCCTCGTCACCCGCAACAGCAGCAGCATCACCAACAGCCGTACCCGAACCAGCAGAAGAAGCTCCTGCGCCTCCCTCCTCGACAGCAGCACCGCTGGGGTCCTCGTCGGCGCTATCTTTCGTTTCCTCGCCCCGCGGCGGCAATGTCTCCGCGCTAAACGTCTTGTCAAGCTGAGCACCGAGGGGAGCGGGAACGACCGGGACGGTTAGTGCAGACCACGCTCGAACGATCTTAGGGATCGGGGTCGAGAACCTCGCTCCGCGCAAAGGGGATGATCGCACCACGTTGTCTTAAAATGGTCAAGCACCCTCGAGGCAGTCACACAGTGTTGATAACTCTCTCTGGAAGTGAAAGCACCAGAAACAAAATAAGTCATACGCATCTGTTATCCGTACGCAAATAAGTAAGCACAAGATGCGAACACCCTTAGCAGGATGCAGCGCACCCTTCACGCGACTCGCCGAATATCTCACGGTGCTTCGCGCTTGGTATGTGAGAGCCTGGTCCGGTGATAATCCGGCGTGCTCCGTCCCGGCCTTGTAGGGATGCGAGGTCAACGGTCTAACGACTACGGCATGCACGACTATGACTACACCCCCCCTGCGTCTCCCTTCTGTCCTCTCGCTTGTTCATGCACCCCTTCCCCTGCACGAGGACAACGATGCACGTCATGTGGTCTACCCTCCGGCACTCACGAGGACAACGATGCACGTCATGTTGTCGCCGCCGATGCCGGTTGTCCTTCGGGGGTCATCCGACATACACTCGTCCATCACCTCCTCGCAAACCTTCGACAGAGACATCTTGCCTACTCGGGCGCCGACAAAATCAACACACTATGCACCACGCACAGGACATGACATGACATGAATGCACAACACAAACAAAGGGGGGCACGCGAAGGAAGGAAGCGTAAGAGCACTTCACGGTGGGGGGGGCGGGCGGGGGGGGGGGAATCGCGACCAAGCAATTCGAGAAGTAATGTGACGGGAAGAGCAGCGCACACGCAGCTTTCTGTATTCTGCACATGTTTCTGTAACGGTGTATGCACCAGTCGACTACTACGTCCAAATGTTGAACAGCTTGTTTTCACAGCACGTACCAAACCGCAAACGTAACTGCTTGCGCACGGCTTGATGTACTTCGTTTCGTTTTTCGGGTGCATGTGCGCTAAAAAAAACGGATTGAACGGTGCGATGAACGAATACAATGCAATGGCATTGCCGCAGCATGACGTGCAGCATGACGTGCAGCATGACCTTCACATGGTTTCGAATGCCCTCATGGAGCTCTGACATCCATTTTCCAAAGGATAATTGCAATAAACGGCCCTCGAGAATTGGCGATGCATGCGATATAAGATATTTTTCTCCTATTTATCTGTATCGTACTTCCCTCTCATAAACTGGAATAACATGGAATAAGAGAAAGCCGGACATAAGAGAGCGGTTTCGGCGTGTGCGACCCTCTCGTAACGTCGTGCCGGCAGATTGGGAGTGCATAAAATCAACCCGCAGGACACAAACGGGGCAAGCTAACACGGAGTCTAGGCCTACAGAGAGGCGTGCCATCCTTTTCGAAACGCTTCCAACACCTACATCTAGTACAACCAACAGGGTGCAGCAGGAAGACACCTGAGGAGAAAAAAGCACGGAGCCGCGCAGCCGTGTAGGCAAGAGCACGGATAATAGTGGGAGCCGCCGTTCGTTCGCGGCTTCGCACTTGACACGCATTGCTCTCGCGATCGATTAACACCCTACCTCCTGACTCGTCATGCAGTCCCAGACTCCGTCGCATGCAAGTATCATGAACCGGTCCTCATCGGTAACTTCCACCGACTTCAGGTCCGGCTCTGCCGTGATCATCTGGTCCGCCGGGGGTAGTCCCTTGTTGGCCTTATACTTGAGGTCACCGATAGACCTTGACAGGTTCAGGTTACCGTTTACACGTCCTGCCTGAGGCGGGGGGGGGGAATGCCGGAAAATGGAAACCGTGCGCGTCGGAGCAAGGTCGAGGTGAGTGGGAGGCGTATACAGCAAAGGAGGTGAGCTGGGTGGTCAATCAGGCCATATATATGGGGCAGGGGGGACAGGAAACAGATGCTTGGAAAGGCGGAAACACGTGGAAGCCTGGGCAAGAACTGGAATTAATTAATGCTCCGCATGCCGACTCCCTGAGCGGGAATAAAGGCTGTGCGTACATTGCCAAGCGTGACCGCGAGGTCCTTGGCGGGCCCTGCCACTTCTGCATCCTCGAGGCAACTGCAACAGGCGCTGTCCCCCAAGACTTCATTCCTACCACGACCCAAACCCTAACCCGCTGTGACCACCACGCTTTTTCTCCCTGAAAGCCCTCAGAAAACGTTCACAATATCTTACCCCTCTCCCCCTTACTGTAAACGAAAACACTGCCACACGCTGCACGCCACGCTGTGAGGGCTCACCGCATTAACAAAGCCTCCCGCTCCTTCGATCCGACGTTTCTCGGTGACAGACATTGGCTTGTGGTCGTGGGATAAGGCCACCGCCACACCTCCTCGGCACAGCACCGCCCTGCTTGTAGGACGCCGTTCGAAACGCGAGTCAGAAAGTGGGTTAAGGGTTGGGGGATAACGTGACTTCGAGGAGTGTTCCTGGGCACCGCGCACAGCGTTGGGGTGGACACGGGTAAAATGATGTCCGCTCAAGACAAGACGGCGTGTCTTTCCACTTTCTTTGGCCTAAAAAGCATGGGCTTCGCCTCGTTTCGCGTGCAGCACTCATCGAATTAGACATGTGTAACACTCACAAAATCATCATGATCATGGTGGAATGGCCGAACGAAGCGGGGGGGATGCACAACCCACCTAGAATCTCCCGCGTTGGCCACGTGCAGCACCTTCCCGACCATAAGGCAAACAACGCTGGTGCACCCGGCCTGCCGACGGCGAACAACAACGAAAACAAACACACACGACAAGCAAATTGGCAGATTACACTTCAATACATAGTTCACAGCAGGGTTAAAAACGATGCCGTTATGATGCTTTATTACAACACATTATAGCACAAAGAAACGAGAGTAGTGCTGTAAACTGGTGTCACGTCTTCAGGCTCTCCAAACCCTCTCAGCCCGGGCGCTGGATCCTTACGCCAAGTCCTGTCTGCGGCTCCCCGTCAGGGGGGGGCCGCGGAATATAATTCGTTATTCGACCCCCTATGTGTGAGTGGTTGTTTCTTTCTGGCAGAGACAGAGAGACAGAGAGACGGAGACATACACAAGGCGACAAAATAAAACGCGTCACACACACTTCCCAGCACCCCTTAGGCTGCCCGCCAATCAGCATCGCATGGGTCGTGATGGACTCGGCATGTTATTGGATGCTTGCCTCGATGGCATGAAAAAGAGAGCTAGGTTTCTGAACAAACGCCGTTTGAACCACGAAAAAACGGAGGAATCGGAGCCAAAAACAGGCAGGCACCCCGAGAAACGAAGAAATCACCCTCACAAACAAACATACGATCATCCTTCCAAACGATCAAGCACACGGTTGCATGATGTGAAGACACAGCGCGACGTTTCTGCTGCAAGCGGGCTTGTCGTTGGTAATGGTAACGTCGTACAGAACGGTTGTCGATGCTCTGTTATTATGTCAGATGACAGGACGTTTATTCGATGCAAAAGCCGCCTGTTCACTTGTATGCATACTTGTAGGGATGCCTCATTGTATGTATGCATGGCCGTGAATATTTACACACATTCAACATCCCTACAGTACGTACCGCTAAAATAGTTCCACGACAACGATACCGCCACGGACGGTATGTACAAACACAACAGGCATCGCTAGATATGCAGGAGCTCGAACCTTGGTCGATGGGAGCTTCAGCAACAACACAACACCAGCATTAGGGTTCAGGGTTCAGGGTTAGGGTTCAGGGTTGGGCACCTGAATAGGGTGATCTTGGAGGCTGCACGTCGGAGCGTTCCCGCCCTGGCCGTGAACAATCGACGCGAGGCTCGACCCAAGCCCTAACCGAGGCCTTGCCGCCGCCCCCTCCCCCGGGGATCCGCCTCCCCCCCCGGCAGGGCTGGCGGTGACAACGACATCGTCCTCTTCCGACTCGTCACTGTCACCGAAGGTATCCTCCCCCTGGTGAATACAGCAACATGACATGACATGGCAGCGTTTGGTCAGAGAGGGGGCTCAAGCGACAACGATGTCATGGGAATGTAAAAACGTTTGCGAAGCGAGCGTTTTTTTGCTGTTCCCGTACTCTCCTGAATCCTCTCTCCGACCTAGTGCTAACCCCAAGTTCGCGAAGCGCGAAGCGAGCGTTGTTTATCTGTTTTCGTACTTTCTTGAATCTTCTCTTCGACCTAGCGCTAACCCCAAAGTTGCGAAGCGAGGTTGCACTATAATAGGTCGAAGAGAGGACTCAAGAGCGGTAGGGAACAGACGGAAAACGCTCGCTTGGCCAACTTGGGGTTAGCACTAGGTCGAAGAGAGGATTCAAGAGAGATCGGGAACAGACACAAAACGCTCGATTCGCAAACCAAACAGCGCTAGGTCGAAGAAAGGATCCACGAGAGATCGGGAACAGACAGAAAATGCCCGCTTCGCGAACCAAACATTGTTCCGGCGATCGAAACCGAAGGTGGTCATGAATCTGATCTAGGTACAGTAGCGGACCGAAACATCTTGACAACAGACGGACGCTTCAGACCTCAGGAGGATAGGGCGAGCTCTCCAGGCATCGTAGGCACCGTTGGCATAATCGCAAACGACAAAACAAATCGAAAGCACATCACGTAAGAAAAGAGACTGTGGCTGAAGCGTCGAAACTTAAAACGCAACACAAGCCCGATCTCGAACCAGCTTTGCAAGCCGCGATTACGCACACGATATTCGGGACCCCAAAGTGCCGGGTGCCGCTCACATGCGAGACACTGGTGTTAATAGCGTTCTTTCTCTGCACACATATTTTCATATTTTCCTCGGTGCGAACTTCGCCTGAAGAAAATCGAGCGCACACCCGCCGCCGGCTAGCTTTCATCGTACAACACTTCCCCTGCTGTGCTTCACGCCAATTAGGCCTGATACCTCCACCATACGGTAAGTTACCAACGGCGCCGTGTAGCACCACCTTCCACGCCTTCTCTCCACCCCCTCACACGATTTACCAAGAGGGCTCCCGTTTCACCGCCACCACCATTGCCGGCCTACTGCCCTCGACACACGGCGCTAGAACTCGGTCTAGAGGATATGGCAATGCAGCACACTGACAAGGGTTGTACTGGTGCACTGACCTCCTCCTCGTCCTCCTCCTCCTGCCCCGCGCCTCCGGCCGGCAGCAACGCGCCCCTGTCCTCCCCCTCTTCCTTCTCTTCAGCTGGCGACGCCGCCGCTGCCGCCGCCGCCGCGCCCTCCCCGGACCCACCGGGCTCCCCCGCAGACACTGCCTCGCCCCCCATCCCCCCCTCGGACGGCGCTACCTGCTCGCTACCGTTACCGGCTCCTCTAGGTTTTCCACCACCGTCGCAGGCCGTGTCGGAGGGGAGGGGAGTGGGGCAGGTAGAAGCGTCGTCGTCCTTCCCGCCTCCTACGGAGGTAGGGTCGGAACCGGCACCGGTGGTGGCGGCGGCGTCAGCGGCGGCGTTGCGCTGCTGGTCTTTCCGGATGTCCAGGATCCGGTGGAAGAGCTCGAGAGCGTCGGCCATTTTGATCTTTCTGCCGCCGCCGCCATTGGGCCCGCCGGAACCGAGCTCGAGGACATCGTTGTCGCCACTGTCTGCAGCGCTGGCATCCACGACACCAACCTTGTCCTTTCGATTGCGGTGCCCGCCGCTGCTGCCGTCGCCGCCGACCCCGGCATCCTCCTCATCGCTGTCGTAGTCCTGGCCTGAGCCAAGGATAGGGTTCGCCGCCGCTGATGTTGTCGTGGACATTGTCGTGGACGTTTCGCGGAGGGCGGAGCGGAGGGGTGTGGTGAGTGAACTCCCAAAGCTTGAATGTCTCCATCCGCCCGTCGAGATGGGGATGATGACAGGGATACACGTTCTGATATGGTACTGTAACGACTCTGTCTCAGGAGGCGTGGAGGAGAAAATAGCTGCATCGCACCGATAGAGACCGACTGCCTGACGAGCGATGAACAAAACGCAGCCCATCCAGAGCGGATATTCTACGCTTTACATCTCGCCAGCACGGAACAGGGAACAGGCTTCTGTGGACAAGGGCGTTGTTGGGAGTATCTGGGAGAGCTAGCTAGCTTTCCGGTGGCGTGGTTCTAGAAACGATACGCGGATAATTGGAACCCCCTTGTCGCTGAGATATCAACGAGCTTCGCAATCGACTGCCACGCTTGGTCACAGCACTACAGCAGCGTCACATGGTTATGGGTTACACGACACCACCATAGGTAGAGCTTTCACAGCGCATGGCAACAACCGCGTCCCGAAAAAATACAACAGCTCGTTTGAGGCTGACCCAAAACCACACTGCACCGCCACCACTTGGAGACACAGCATATTTTGACGGCGTGGGCACCATCGGGCTTGAAAGGGGCGGGTTACCTTTCGATGGTGGTTCCTCGGCCTCTTCATCGCTCGGGTTTTTCCTCGATCTGTCCGTGAAGAAAAGGCCACACCGACAGCGTTGAGGCAAGGGGGCGAAGAGCCCAAACCGGGGGGTACGGGTTACACACAATGTTAAATCTTGCTGCACGTCTGAGCGCATGACGTCAAGTGAAGGTACTCTACACAGTAGGCACAAAACCGATATCTGGATGCTTGGGAAGTGCACGCGAGTCAAAATGTATGTACCGAGCGTGGACGTATGGACCCTAACGGACAAGGGGGCGAATTCCTTCCCAAGGCACGCGTACAGTATTAACGTCCAACGAATTTCTAGTTCCATGTTTCCTCCAGCCGTCATAGCCCGTCTCCCGCAACGACTCGGGCAGAGGCGATACTACGCGGAGGGCTTCCTGTCCGCGAGGACCCCAAGGCCTCCCCTCGGGGCCGTGAGCCTTCGGTTCTGTCGCGGGAAGCGCCCAGCAATCCTCAACTATCCCTCGTCAACAACTGAGTCGGTCAGCTTGGTTCACACAAACGTATGGTAGAAATCCCCGTACGTCTACCTCCGAATTACCTAGTCTGGAAGAGATCCGGCAAGGGTGAGCCTGGCCGCTTGCGAGGAGAAAGCAAAAGTGAAGGGGGGTGGCAAGTCCAACTCCGACAGCAACACAACAAGACAGTACAACAACTCGCCTGTACTCCGCGAGCTCTTGACAGATAACCTTATACAGCTCCGCGGACGCCATCTCCGTCTCCATGTCCGCAACGCCCGTTGTTACGCCCTCCTTCTCCTCACTTCTAGTCTCCTTTTCCTCCTCTCCTTCCTTGTCCTTGGTGGCATCGCCCCCAACCCCCCTCTCCGCCTCGCTTTGGCTCGATTCTCCCAGTGTCAACAACTGCTGAGCACCCCCGCTAGCCCTCGAAGTCTCGCCCCCGTCATGTCCGTCCGGCAGCATTCTTTGTGATGGCCCTCGTGACCGCACAAGTTCGGTAGCAGCCCCCTCTAGCAACTCGTCCATGCGATGGAATACCCTTGCCGATGGTTTTGAAGGAACGGTCGTGTCGGGGGGGGGGAGAGAGAATTGGTTAGATTTGCTACAGGCGCTTGGCACCTTCTACGGATAAGGCTGGGGTTAGCGTTGCTGGTGTGTCAACAGAACAGAACAGTTCCGATCAGAGTGAGGGGTAGACCAAATCCCCCGCAGCACACACCGTCAGGTCACAAGGCAAGGTCACAAGGCTTCGGCAGCCCCATCCCTCATGCGCACCCAAGAATGTCTAGAGCACTCGGGCGCAAGATGTGGACATATGGTACACTAGTCACTTCGCCGGGATCCAAGTTCCCGATTCGTCACAACGCAAACCACCGGCTATCGACCAAGGAACTGTACGAGGAGCGATGTGACAAATGGCCCTCGCTACGGGAACGAGCCAGACGCGGGCGTTTCGATGGCCACGCACTCCGAACCGTGGTAAGCATCAAGCAATCAAGCACGGCGGTCGTTCTCGCCAAAAACCTCCATCATGCCATGGATCCAAGTTACCTCGCCAAGGCTCTCGGGTAGTCTCCGCTTCTGTACTCCTCAAGCTTGACCAGCTCTTTTGCCATGTGCTCCTGCACGAACAAGGCCACTTCCTTGCCTGCGGTGATGATACAGCAGGGGCAGGGGTCTTAATTGCTGCCCCCCCCAAGGAATTTGACCAGTGATCACCATTTCTTGCAGAGACCATACTCCTGAGAAACTCCACCAACAGAGTCGAGCACCGCTGAACTACGGTTTGACATAAGGCTTAGGTTTATCTTAGCGCGTTGTGGCCTGGTGGAGTGGGGGAGAGAGAAAGGTCAGGCTGCACTTTCGCGAAACATGTCAAGCTTTCAACAAAACACCAAGTCGGACAAAAAACGGGATCGATATGCGGCAGACTTTGGAAAAAAATAACCTAGTCCACGCCGATACAGGGATCGATGGTACTGCGGTCGCTGCGGCTCAAGAAGGACTGCAGACCTTACTGCGATGGAGGCTTCATATATAGCTTGCTGGCTGACTTCAAACCTAGAGCTAATGGGGCAATCAAAACGATCGAAGCCTCCCGCTGACTGACTCTCTTTCAGGGGGAGCCTGCCCTTCGCAACCACACAGCTACCACCGCACCGCGTGGTGATGGTGCTGTACTTGTGCACAGGACACGCTAGACACACCCACCCGTCTCCTAACAAACATCAAACATCTCAGCGAGCGCTACAAGTATTGTAGCTCAAAAAGGCAAGCTTTTCCGTTCGGCTCTTAGGGTTAGGGTTAGGGTGTTCTGCCAAGACAGTGCCACAGTTCTCTCTTCTTCCGTGGCTAGAAACATCTATGTCGGCTGGCAAGAGCTCTCAAGGCAAGTTTTTAGGTTAGGCTTTTAGATGGTTTCCCGAGAAAGTGACAAGTTTTTGGTTCGTTAAGGTTGTCGTCAATTGTCTATTTCTTCACAGCTGCCGGCCCCTTACCTCCGTGCCCGTCAAAAACCCCGAACATCCTGACCTCCTCGCCCCCCCCCTGCCGCTCCCCTCCCTCCTGCGGGTGCTGCTGTAGGTCTAGCAGGGCCAGGTGTGCATCCTCCATGTTCCTCCTCCATCCCTACAACCAAGGAAAAGAAGAAGAAAAGTGGCCGGTCGAGTCACAAGTAAAGAGGGTTCGTGTACACGGACTTTGCGGGCGAATATTCGTACCGTACAAGTATGTTCTTGGGCCCTGTGAAGACTTGCACTTGCCCTAACAAGAAGCAGGAAGCCAAGAAACTCAGTCAAGAGGTCTAGCGCACGCACACACTTCGCCGTGTCGACACCAATTCCAACCAAAACTCAGCCGCTCCTCCAGTGGGGTGCCCAGAACGTTATTGAAAGCATCACGAGCAGCCTTCGGATCACCAAGGGTCTTGCACTCTGACACTGACTTTGTTATGGCCAAGATGACTGACTTGGAAAACGAAGTCATTCAGCAAGACTTGTACACCGTTGGGAAACTCTCGGTACTCCCCGTGTAGTACTGTAACGACAGCCACACCGAAGAACTTACAGAAAACACGCGCGGGAACACTTGCAGATTGTCTTTACCGTTCAGCCAACGAGCCGAGCCCTAACGGAACGCACGGAAAGCACACGGGCGGAAATGCCAATATCCAACCAACTCGGGGTTTAAACCTTCCAACCAACTGTTGGCAGACAAGCCTTACACTACCAGGACGGAGGTGGACCAAACCCCAAAACTGCTCTTGCCATATGGCTAGGGGCGCACGCCACATGCATTCCAAATCACCACCCGTGGTGTGGTGCATAGAGCAAGACGCCTCTACATAGGGTCAGGGAAACTCGACAATTATCGGCATAAGTCGCCCACATCGAGCCAAATTACGCGCGGACAAAGCCTCCGGCGGCAGAAATCAACAGGCTGGCTCTCTTGCGTTTCTTGGGGTGACCGATTCCTTTACTCCCGCGCCGGACCGCCCACAAACTCAAAAACATCCGGTGGGGTTGCGGCCACGCGACTTCCACCACATAAATTGATGCAACCAAATGTATGCTACTGCTGTACCAGGTATGGTGCTATGCAGTGTTGATGATGATGTCTTCAAAAACCCGTCCCGGTCTCCGCTCACTACCTGCTAACATGCGTGCCGTTCCAGCTGACGCGGGCGCCTTCCGTGGTCACAGACCAACTACATGCACCCAAAAAACTGTCGTAATATATATTGCTCTCGGCACACACTGTAGGAGCACGCTGATGGTCAATCTGGTGAGAGAACAACTACAGGTACATTTGTACTTTGGATCGACCCTTTATCCGACTCCAAGGACGCAACCATGCAGCGCGCCAGCTGATACAGATGGTAGGGGTAGGTAATACGAGCAAATGATGCGCAGAACGTGTAAACGTTTGTTGTCACTGCATGCAGTTTATTACATCAGCAGGCAAGTATTTTTAAGCTTTGAAGCCGAAAACGGAGTTGGTGCAATAGTCGTCACAAGTGTAAATGTTTTTGTCACTGCATGTTCTTTACTACATCAGCTAGCATCTTTCAAGCTTTGAAGCCGAAAACGGAGTCGGTGCAATAGTCGCCACACGCCGGTATCCCAACGGCACTTTTCGGCTCTGAGGAGGCATCCATGTTGCGCATTGAGAACGGAGCCCATGCGTCATATCTCTGTTCAAATGCGTCAAGAACAGTGGCGACGACACGCGAGTGTGTGTGTCAATTGCAGAAGGTCACGATCCGTTCCGAATCAGAACACACATATTTGCTGTTGATACACCATTTAGAACAAGACGTCCAATACAAATGCATACAAAGAGGGTTTCTCGAACAAGTAACCCGTTCAGCGACATGCGTTGAAGTTCTTCGCACAGCAGCAAGAGTCTCACTTTGTACGAGTCAAACTTTTCTTTTCAGCGCGCTAAAATCTCCTTGAACTGCTGTTCTGACGGCGTTGCAAGCGAAGGAACCCTCCCCTCCACGACTCGTCGATTAGCAGCCACGCTACAACGGCCAACGAATGAAAGGATGAAAGGCTTAAGGCTTGTGGCGAATGAAAGGATGAAAGGCTTGCGGCGAATGAAAGGGGGGATGATTGTTGGAAGCGCAGACAGGATCCATGCGGCACGAAGAAACAACCCCTCTACAATACATTCGTTCTGAGGACCAAGGGCACGGAACACGGAGACCACTCACGGATACCTCCAAGTTACTTCGTACACGGAATGTCCTGGATAGGTATCTAGGTAGAAAGCGGTTCTCACGCTGGCGTCAGCGGTCGGACCACCTGTGGCGCCGCCCCGTTGCACACCCTCTCTCCCGCTGTCTTCCTCTTTTCCTTGGTCCGAACATCGAAAGGCCTGCCATCTGCCCTCGGTATGTATAATAGTAGGTTTACGCTACCTCGACGTCAAGATCTTTGAGTCGCGTCGCCTGAAACGGGGGCAGCCTACGTCGTGACTGCTGTCACCACATTGTTTGTATCGACGGGTGTCTTTCCTACCCCTCTCTTGCCCCTCTCTTGCCGATGCCGATGCCGATGCGAGTCGACTGAGGTAAAAAAATATGTGCGGTTGTAACCGCGTGTACGCTGTAGTCGGTTAGAATAGTCGCTGTCCCGAATCTAACGCCGAAAACAACATCACTCGTTTCCTGGCCAATGGAGAAACGGCTGCATGTACACTGCTGCCCTGAGCGCCATGCCATGCGTCGTCCACCCCAAGCTCTCTCAGGTGCCTTCAAAGAACTTGATCTTGTGAGCCGTGAGATGGCGTTTAGCTCTATCGCTTGCAGCTACTATTGGGCGTCTATCACAGGAGTCCCTTTTGCTCTGTGCGACAGACCTCCACGTTTACTTACTTTTTACGCAGATACATGCCACAACGGCAAAAAAGTGCACGTGGCACATCAAGGTGCCACACCATGTTAAATAATAGGCACCTACCTCACGGAGGTAAATATGCATGGTAAATAGTTGTTGTCTCCATTTTTCCTCTTGCTATGCACAAAACAAACTACCAGTTATTTACCCTATGGTTAACATCCGTGTCCTCCGTGTACCTATGCATTTGACGTACCATACAAGTATGCATACACCAGAACAGAGTGGTAGTGCGAATTTTGCAGCTGGCATTTTGGGTGTCGGTCCCAGGTGACAGCAGCAGTACAGTCGTTACAGTCGTGGGTCCGGCCGGTGTAATGGTTAGTTCCGTCCCTGTTTAACGGGATGGATGCCTGTTTAACGGGATGGATGTCCTGAATAGCGGTCCCAAAATCTCGTGGCACGGCTGCACCTCGGTACTCAAACTGCAATATAACTGCCAATCCGGTTTAGCGGCGATGCCCTCGATGGCATTTACATTTACAACATCGTGTGAAAACGGCATATGCTGCGGTATGCGTACCATGCAAACAGGACGATCACCATGGGTGAGGATAATGCTGCTGCAGACTCTGTACGCAGACGTGGAATTTTTCTGTTTGGTTCCGTTGGGGCTCGCTGGGCTCTTCGATCAGAGCTGTTGAGCTCAAGTTGGGAAACGTCGCAACTGCTGATCCTGTTGCCTGCCGCTTGAAGTTTCGTCTTGCATCACTGCTGCTGTTTTGCTTTCATGAGCCCCTCGGCAGGAGGAATCCATTGTATGCATCACACAAATAAATACACTCCACGTAAAGCAATAATAATGCGCATACACCGGAGAGCTTGGTATGAAGCATGTAGTCTAGACGTACATGGTTGTTTGTGGTAGGAGTTATTTACAAACATGATCGACCCAGACAGGCCGCAGCCCCGTTGCATCCCCCCCGTACACACAAGCATACCAACGCAAAATGCAGCAGTATTTACGTATTTACGGAGTGAGAATTTGCCGCAGACCCACTTGCGGCAAGAGATGGCCGACGCATGTGGGAGGTGAAGTGGAGGGTCCTGATGGAAGCAGTACCGTAGTAAATAGCAGTCTGGTGTCCCTCTCTTTAGGGTCTCGCGTTGACATCAGTGGGAATGTTTCTTTCGTCTGCCGAGTCAGTTGGGCTCTTGTCAACACACACAACGCTCCCAACTAGCCAACTCATTTTGGAGTAGATTTTTGAATTGAAAATGTTTGGTCTCTCGGTGATCGAAAGTTTCGTTTGGTGGGCGGCGTACCTGCATAGACGACACCCCGAAGCCGACATCGCTGTCCTCGCCATCTTCAGAAAACTGGGGTGGGTGATTGTGACCAAGGTTACGCGGGAGCGGCAGAGGCACGAGTACAATGCCGTCAGTTGTGATCAGGGAGACAGCACACGAAATGCCCCGCCCATCATCAGCGTGGAGTAGGCGCGGAAGAGAGAGGCAACCAGCGACCGAATTTCCGATGTTCGACAAGAGGGACAAGAGCAGGATACAGCAGTACTGGTATATTTCCAAAACCTCTGCTCTTGCGGAGGAGAGACTTCGACGACTACCCTGTGTAGAGATCTTTCGAGAGGGTCTACGCCGAAGCTGGTGTTGTGGAGATGGAGCTGGCGGAGTCGTGGTCCCAACCAACACTGCCAACCAACGAGCGGAAAAACCGCCACAAAAAAGCAGCGCAATAAGCTTCGGCTGGCTACAGACACACACACACGTTCTTCTGACCTTGGTCACACTCGGCTTGCTCAAGAAGACTCCCATAACAACGAGGCGTGGGAGGGAGGGCGTGTGTGTGAAGCCTGAGGACGGTAGTGTTGCTTGTGCTCGGCCGCTTGCTTGTGCCTTGCGTGTTGCGTGTGTCATTCCTTCGCCAAACACAGCAGTTTCTTTTAAGGGGGTACGCGGCTGTTTTTTCGCATACCTTGGAATAGAATACCAGCATCCGCGTCGCCCCGCCGCACATGTTGTTCTCTGTTCCTGGTTCGCGAACCAGCCATGAGCACTGCTGACTTTTTTGTTATTAGGATCTCTCTAGATCTCTCTTGGCCAGCCAAACGAGGTCGGGAAGACAGTGTTCCTTGCAAATCCCCGCGCTGAGCCGTAGCAGGCACATTAAACGGCCTCTGCTCTCTCCACGCTACGCCATATCGACGTTTTCGCGGTGTGAGCTCCAGCAGCCAGGTGAGTTTCGTGAGCGGATAATACCGAGAGCTATCCTGCTGCCTCTACTTTGGCAGCAAGCTTGAAACAGCAAGCAGCAAACGCGCACCATCCACACGTGCACCGATCACACCGGCAGGCTGGTGTCGTGCATGGCATCTTCTGCTGCAAGAGGATGATCTTTGCAAGACGGCTTGGCCGCCTCCTGTTCCTTTGAATATGCCTTTCCCGCACAGGCTGCACCCGCATATAGGAAAGGCCGCTCAATCATGGCGGCAGATCAACACCACATGGATGTCATCGACGCGGCAAAGGTTGGCGACCAGCATCGGCTGCGCAGCTACCTGGATGAGCGAAACGGCGACGTGAATCTGCGAGACGACTCCACGCAGGGCACTCTTCTCCACGTGAGTCCTGCCCCACGTTGCTGTTGTTGAAAAAATTTCCAACAAAATTGCTTCCCAAAGAGTCGGCTTGTCCCGCCGGTGCCACTTCGATCATCGATCGCATCATCGCATCAGCTTTTCTGTCTTGTCTGGATGCAGACCGCCACAAGACGACTGACTACTGTACCACCTTTATCGTAGAAGGCAAAGACAATACGCGGCCATGAAAGGGGAGAGGGAGCCCCCCCCCGCTGCTGTATTCTGCCCTGTGACGAAGATCTGATATGATTTGATAAGCCCTACCTATTGTACGTACATTCAACACACCGCCATCGTGTTGTTTCGTTTCGTAGGCTCCGTCTATCGTTTCCTCTTTTTTTTTTGGAATTTCTTCCGATTTTCGGAAGGTCTTCAGCAATGCAAGTCTATGTAACCTTTATCTGTGCAGGTGGAATCAGCGCACGCTCATGTATACCGCTGTACCGAGTACTCTGTACCGAGAGTTGTACAATATTGTTGTACACGTTAGGAGTGCCGTTGCGGAGGGTCTTTTTTTGTGCTGCGCACACGCTGCAAGAGGTGCGGGAGGCGATCTTCCACGACCTCTATCTCTCTCTTTCTCCCTCTCCAATGAGAGGAGGGAGGTTGTGAGCAGTAAATGACCCAAAGGTATGTTCGGGGGGTGCATACATTTCGGTATGGAGGGGGATTCCGTGAGTGATGCTGCTGCTCTCAAAGAGTAGCTGCGGCAGCATGTACCGCTGTAGTAAGCCGTTGTCCGTTGTCGGCACATCCGCCATTGAGAACCAAGGGGTTGGGGTGGCATCTCCAACGGTTAGTATTGCAGTGATTGTATGCATAGCTAATGCACAGTAGTTGATGTTCAAGCAGGCAGAGAGCGCGTTGCGAAAGCATTGCCAAAGCAACAGCATACATGCTCACAGGAGGAAATGCGCACTTCTCGCCAATAAAGCACGCGCTCCATCCAATCAGAGCCAGCGGAGAGAAAGTGGATCGATCCCTTTTCCGAGACATGTCCGCCATTTCCCACCGTTGCCATGATGCAGTATCGTACAGTATGCTAATGGTTATCAGCCGTTTCAGCCGCATTTTCGAACTCCGTGTCGACGGCACCGCCGGATCTCTCTTCACGAACAATGCTCGGCTAAACGTATCGTATCGGAAACGCCACACTCTTGCCGACGGCACGTCATTTACCTGTAGGTATATACCGCAATTTTACACCACAGTTTATTGCATTCTTGCAGTATCATATTGTAGTAGAAACCAAACAAACCCTTGGACCCAATGTTGAACCTCGATTCCTCTGCAGCAAACACATGACACATGTCTGCTGTGGCAGTGACGGTGCCGAATTGCACGGCTTTACTGACAGGATCAACACGGACTCACGAACCTTCCGACACGTACACAATCATTTTTTATGTGATCTTACCACATAGCGAGCTTTCCGACACGTACATACACAAATCCTTTTTGTGTGATGTTACCACATTATTGTTCATCAACAATATCACAATATCGCAGTACATGAACTTGGTCAGGAGTTTTCCCCGAGAAATAGGTGGGGTCGACGTGGGCTCCTCGTCACACCCCACAACCCGAAACCCAGAGTTAAGTTCCCACAGCAGGAACTACACTACGTCACAGACTTCGCTCCCCATTTTGTGGCAACGACAACCGCCGGGCAGCCGCCACACCTGGAACACATAAATACATCCAACTCCAACCCTGTCGCATCTATCTTTCATGTCATTCCATGTCATGATTTTGGGTTGAAGTTCACTCAACGGGATTATATGCCTTGTGCGGATTTTGGGTTTGTCACTGATTCATCTGGCTCTTGTAAATGAACCTCTCCGGCGTTTCGGCTGCCCAAGCCTACCCTAACCCACAAGACCTTCTGGTGACCAGGGTCAGGGGTTCGAATACCGGCGCAAGCGAGCTTTTCTTGCAGAATGAGACTGTCTCTCGCTTCCACTCCTGGCCTAGTGGATAGCGCTAGTTCGTGTGTACACAGCAGAGGGAAGAGAGTGCTGCACTCCTCTCGCATTAAAAACCGAAGACCGAAGGCAAAGTACCGCAGGAGGGGAGGGTAGGAGTGGACCTCACGGAGAGAAACCCTTCTGTGTGACCACGGTTTGAGTAAACGGCACAAGTGCTGTGAACGATGATTTGAAGTGAATACAACAACAACAATAAAGCCAACATGCCGAATGCAAATTTTGGGCCGCATCGAGCCCTCCGACCTATTGAGATATGCATACACGCATACACCATCCCATGATGAGAACACAACGAGCTTCCGCGGACGCCGTGGATTCATTGCTAACCTTTCCCAGACTCGACTCTGCTTCTGTTGATTCTGTTTGATAGGAAATAAAGTTGTTGCGTCATGAATAAGAATAAAGTTAGAAGAGAACGCCCGTCCCTTGGTGGTGCGTTACCCCAGAGGCAGAATCCCGATACGGCAGCAGAGACGACGTTCCAAAGAGGCACGTTGAATGCTTTCTGACTTTGCTACAAGTGTTTAGAAATAAGTTTCCTTGTCCTTCTAATTGTAGGTCAAGCTTTCCGTTGGCCTGGCCACACGCAAGAGCCATGGAACAGCTGTGAGACGTTCAGAACCTGTGTTCCTGGCATGGTTGTCAAGCATATCTTGTTATTTATGCATCCCTTGTTGCCATCGTTTGAGACAGACCTGCGAAAGTTGTTGTATGCATATCTATACCACCCAATATCTGCGCCTGCTGCTGCACCTCACGTATTTTGTCGGGCACCTTCACTATACAAGAGTTAGCGCCCGCGTTTAAGAAACGTCAATCTCGGATCGAGGCAATTATTTTACTTTGTTGCCATCGTCGAGCACAAGTCATTGTATTTAGCCAAGCGTAGGGTCCACGGCCAAGCTGTGTTTCTTAATCGGCTTTTCTTATTTGTCGCGAGGATCTGAGGGTTTTTTCCTCAAGGTTTGTTTCTCAATCGCGGGCACTAGCTGTAGTACAAGTACAATACTGCGGTGCTTGCCTGTGATATGGGACATGGGTCCAGTTTGTAGTTGTATTTGTAAACGAGTTTCCGGATATGGACGCAAGGCCATGGCCAATGACCAAACCATCCCGCTCCGCTGCGTTCTTACTCACTGATTTCGGTGAAGAACCTAACCGTACCCATCTGTATCGATACGTGAAGAGCCCAGCATAAGTTTTCGATGGATGGTGCTTCTGAGAATGGTTCGATGGAAGTACGCACAATCTAAGAGACACGACACAAGTCACAAGTCACAAGTCTTTTCACAGCTGTGGCGACGGATACCGAAGCTACCATCCGATTTGAATCCCTCGACGTTATTTCCAGCGTTGCGGTCGCCCCGGTGGCGAGAAGACCTTCTAGTCGTGGCCCGTGCCCGTGTGTGTGTCGTTGTCGTTGCTCTGGACATGTCACCGGGGACCGAGTGTTGGGGGGCCGTAGCTTTTGAGTGTCGTAGCCCCATAGTTGGGGTGTCGGGGCACCGTAAATTCGAGAGTGGGGGGGGCGTGGGGGTCGATTGTGGTAACCTCGTGCTTGGGGAAAGATGACTTACGACGATTTATACCCTTTTTAACCATTGGCGTTTTTACAAGATGGACCATAGCGTGTAATCAAGCAGACATTCATGCCCCCCCCCTCCTGTGTGTGTGTCCCCCAGTGGGCTTGCTCGTACGGGCGTCTTGGTGCTGTAGCGCTGCTGCTGGACAGGGGAGCGGACGTGAGTGCTACCGATAACGAGTGCTGGACAGGCCTACACTGGGCGTGCCACACGGCAGCAACAGATACGGCAAGGTAGAGAAGAGAAGACATGTTTCATGACATGTTTCATGGATCACATGTTTCGTTTGATGGATCAGGCGGAGCGAGAGGAGAGTGGGAAGAGAGAGAGAGAGACCGAACAACGCTAGAGGAAGAGATAGATAAGGGGCGGAGAAGAGAAGAGAAAAAGAGGGGGTGTTGTTGTAAGTGGCAGGGAGCTTTGTGCGGGCGTGTACATAGATTCTTGCATTCTTGCCTTGGCTTCGTCTTCCACGTAACGGAACAGCAGTGGAGGAGGCGTCTTGTACACAACTGCCCCTACACCAAAACATGCCTCCTTGTTGACCCAATGACCACGACATTCCTGACCTTCCTCCCCTCTGACCTCAATGTAGGCTGCTGTTGGAGCGCGGCGCGCCAGCCGATGAGAGGGACACTCAGGAATGGACACCGCTGCATGTCGCTTGCCACTCTGGAAGAACCGACACAGTGCGGTATGATCAATTGTCTTTGCGTGTCTTGCTTGCATCTATTGCCTCGGCTTGCGGTGACCGCGCTAACCGTATTGGGTCAGCCAATAGGAAGACACCAATCTCTTCGTGGCGGGACATGGAACTAGTGAAAATCATTTGTTGTCCGCGGCCTTCCCAGACAAAGATGCTCGGAGTGCCGGAGTACACGGGAGGCTTTTTTCTACCGTTGGCTTTTTTCTCTCCAGGCAGCGTTTGAGTGTATTGTACGTACAGTATGCTCAAATATGATGCAGGGGTGCAGTTTTGGAGGTGTTCCACTATTGAGTGGTACGTCCTCAAGCGCGCTAGGGCCCGTCGATGGGGCTGTACTGTACATCAAGGTTGAACCGTCGAGGATTGCGGAACCACATGGTGGCAGCACGACGAGGATGACCCAAGAAAAAATATACTTCGTGGCTTCATTGCCGTGTGCGGAGTGCTCACCAGAATTGAGAGTGGTGGACCGGGTCATCCATCGTTTCACTTTCTGCCCGTTGTTCGCGCAAGCTTTTTCGGTCACTTGGTTGCTTGCGCTCAAGGAAAAGGAGAATATATGTATTACCCACCCGCCTAGCTGTCTTGTCTCATGCCGCACTCTGCCCTGACTGCCGTGTTATACGCACCACACGGTCTGTAGGTTTCTGCTGAGCGCTGGGGCTACCGTGTCTGCGAGAACGGACAAAAACTTGACAGCTCTGCATATCGCGTGCGAGAGCGGCTTTACCGACACAGCCAGGTGGGTGGCGGGACTTGGTTTTTGATAGATCCTAGGGCAGGTGGTGTCGTCGAAAGTCGAAGCGTTTAAACGTTTAAACGACATCGTTGGCCAAACCGCGGGCCGGATTAATAAGGCACGCGGGGGACGAAGAACTCCTCCTGTAGAACCAACCTGCCGGATGGTTGTACCTAAGTGTTATATTTTTCTGTCCGCTGCCACTACAGGTAGATATAATACTGGTAGTTCTTTGTGGTGTAGGGATGCATGGGAATCCGGGAGGGCATTGAAGCATATGGTCGGGGGATAGGGGAATGTCGCACCAGAGAGGGTCGGACCTCCCATCATCATGATCATCGTCATCATCATCCACAACCCCGTCTACGAGTAGACGACCCTGAGACTTTCTTTGCCCCCAGATGATTTTCCATCCTTTCATCCTGTCCTCGTGTTTGTTTCTGCGTACAATACCGCTGCCACGTTTCTTGTTTGCGTTGACCTCCCTCCCCCCCTCGCCTTGGCTTGCCGGGGCAGGCTGCTGCTTGATGCCGGGTTGCTCGTCTCTGCAGTAGACGATGAGGCGTACTCGGCACTGCACCTGGCCTCGGCGGGGGGGCACACGGACGTGGTTCGTCTCCTGCTGCAGGCCGGTGCGGAGGGGGACTCTTCGACGGAGAGGAACCACAGGCCGTTGCACCTGGCGGCGCAATACGGGCACAGTTCCGTTGTCCATGTGCGTGATGGATTGGATGGTTTGGTGTGCGGGGTGGTGACCCTTGTGATCGGTGCTGCCAGGGTTTGTTGGAATATCGAATCAAATATGAGCGTACCACTATTATTGTAGCCGACTTGAACAATAAAATTCCATCAACCTTACAGCAGTCGTGATTTCGTTAACCTACACGAGTCGTGATTCCAACAGCCCGGTTGCTGCTGGTGGAAGTCTTGGTTCTTCGACGCTGGTGTACTGCTGTGTTGGTGGGTTTGTTGGATGTCAGCGACGGATGTGGTTGGTCCTTTGGCGTCGGAATTCGACGCTATCGAACGAAATCAAGACAGCAGTGTACTGGTAATGTTGAAGCGCGAGAATAGACGCGAGCACGCTCTCTAGTTCCGCGTGTCCCATCGGCTGTTGTGCGTGTGTGTTGTGTTCTTGAGTTTTCATCGACAGCGTTAACGGCCTATCTGGTGAAACAACGAAAGTCTGCGGCGGAACAAAACGCGCTAGCAGAACATGCTTTATCGTCATCGGGCTTCGCCTACCGTAGGGGTGGAAGTCGTACCACGGGATTCAGTCTCCGACATGTTTCTGTCTGTTTGTTGCGTCTATTAATAGTGTCTTCCTTACGGTGTCCTGTGATGAACAGGTTCGATAATAGTCCTCCTTCTTCCTGCTGCTCCTGTTTTCGCTTTGTGTGATGGGCAGCCTTTGAATAGGCCCGTGCCATCCTTTTCTCTCGTGTAAGAGGCTTTTTGAATGGCAGTCTCTGTGACAATCCTTTTCTCTCTCTGCCCGTACTCTTTCTTCCAGCTGTCTGGATGTCTCTCTCTCGCAGCACTGGTCTCACAGTCCTGTTGCCTGTCTCCGTTGCATCGTTTTCTCTCTTCCGTTTTTTTTGTTTCAGCTTTTGCTCGAGGCAGGGGCTGCTGTAGACGTTCGAGATGACGGCAACTACACCCCGACACATCTCGCGTGTACTTACGGACACACAGAAACTACCAGGTGCGGTGCGGTCACCCTCTCCCTCGGGGGAACGACAGATAGCAGTCAGGTCGTGTACCATGACAGGGGTGTTGGTATAATGTCTTCGGCGACGAGAGTGCGGCAGGCGTGATGAGCACTCAGACGTTCTGTTCTGGAGGTACTCCTTAGCCCTTGCAAGAATTGAGGGTGATGTGACTGACCTGCTCTTGCCTATGTATCGAGACGTGTGCGTTAAGTTTTCGATAGTCTGAGGTGTGCAGAAGAGGACTACCCCGCCCCCGCGTGGATGCTCTTGGTGTCTTGTCTTTATCCGTGCCCTCCCCACTGGTGGCGGTCTTTTCCTGATCTTTGGCATGGCAGCGTGAGAATGCTGTCGACGTCTCTTGGCTTTGGCTCTCTCGTAATTCCAACGTCGCGGCCTTCTCTCCAGCCTGTAGCCTCTCTTCTTCTTGTGTCGCATGGTGCACTTGATCACTTGATGACTTGATGTGTGGTGTTTCGATTGGATACTACGCGGACCAATATCACGTCGGACGTCGACGCGCAGAAGATAGCGGACGAGTGGGGCGAGTTCCAACAAGACGTGTCCAACAGACCCCGCGGATCACGAAGAAGCTCCCTCACGAAGAATCTTTGCGACGGAGGTTCTTATGACCCGCGGGGTCTGGTCGACGTCTTGTGGAAGTCGCCCCACGTCTCCGCTATCTTCTGCGCGTCGACGACCGACATGATGTCCGTCGGTGGGCTCGAACACGGGAAAATCGGTGGAGAGCAGAGTGCTGTGCAGGGCGTGTGGCGGGGGGTTGGGAGCGGGGAGCGGCAGAAAAGTCCGCAACGGCTACGGCGGGATACTGTATGCGAATCGCTCTTGTCAGCAAGGAATGCACGAACGAACGAACGAACGGCCTAAACTCGTGTCACGTCGCAAACCTCAATTTCCCCTCCAAGGCTTCTGCTGGAGTACGGAGCCGACGTCGAGGCCCTGGATTCTGAGGAGTGGTCCCCCTTCCACTGGGCCTGCCAGCTGGGGAACGTTTACACCGCACGCCTCTTGATGGCAAGAGGTGGGGGTGTTTCGATGTTTCTTAACCCTTGTTGCTTGCTCTCTGCTATTTACCACCACCATTTTGCCTGTACCATCACCAGCATTACCATTACCGTGCTGCCTTTACCGCCACCCCTTTGCGGTTACCATTACGATTTTGCCATTACAACATAGTACCATTCTGCCATTCCATTTTCCTCTTGGTGGTTACGGGCGGGATCATGGTGGGCAGGGAGTGGGGAGGGTCGGCGACAGCACTGGGTGTTGCATGTTTTTGGGCATGCCCTCCCCGCCGTTTTTATAACACTTTGCCGCGAGGGTAGAGACAAACACCGATTATCGGACGTGTCTGTCTCTGCGAGGAGTAAAGGAACGGAGACCCGCCTCGTAACCGACTATTGACCAATGGTCATGTGACCAAGAGGCGCGCGTCTTGTCTTGTCTCTTGTGTGCATTCCCCCGAAGGTGCCAACAGAGCGGCTCGTACCTCACGAGGACACCAGGCCCTGCACCTCGCGGCAGAGAACGGGCACACGGAGACAGTCAGGATGCTACTCGACAACGGGGCCGACCCAAATGCCAAGGACGAGGTATGCACTTCTATGCCGTTATGCCTAACCCTAACCCTAACCCTAACCCCAAGGGGAAAGGCAGCGGCGTCCTGACCTGTAATATGTAGCGGGTTGCGTAGTATACCACACGCCCTGATTTTGGTTGTTGAAAGCTGAGGGTTAGTGTTAGTGTTAGGGTTTGGGTTAAGTTACCTGTGTACCTGTAACATGTAGCAGGTTTCGTAGTATACCGCACACCTGATGTGCTTGTTGAAAGATTAAGGTTGAGGTTGATTTCTCTACGACGAAGATGGTGCCAACAGCAGTCGACTCATGCATTTTTGGAAACCTCTCAATGAGACGATTCCAACGCCTCCTCCGCCATTTCGGCGCCGTCGCTATTTTTGCCGGAGAGTAATCGATCGATCTTGGACAATCGGTTCAGGTTGGGGGGGTGGCACCGTACAGTGAGGCAACAAACCAGGCCTATTCGTCGCAGAGAGAGAGGCGGCAGCAGGGTGTGTTCGACCAGATGTGCCAAAAGTAGTCAATACCTTAAATATTTGTAGAAAATGTGATGGCGATTTTTCCAAGCAGGCCACCGCTAAATGTTTCTTTCATTTTTTTTTTTTACGACACGCTCGACCAGGAGATTTCCCACCATGCAGGGTACGTAATCGTTGTGGTTCACCACGATTCATGCCCGTGCGGAGGCAATCCTTTGTAGGTTGCCTTGTTCCTTGCCCTTGCCCTATCTACGCACCTCTTTCCTGCTCTCTTCATATATCTCTTGTGTCACTTGCTCAATGTCTGTCCTCACCTTGTACCCTATTTTGTCGAACATTGTCGCAAGGTCCTCTACACCCCCCTCCACTGGGCGGCCCAGTACGGACACCTCGAAGTGGCTTCCCTGCTCCTTGCTAAGGGAGCCGGGCCCAGCCACCAAGCCGACTATCTCGACACACCCTTGCACCTAGCGTGTCTCCTCGGTCACGGTGCCGTGGTCTTGCTGCTGCTCGAGAACGGCGCAGAGCCTTCGGCGTTAGATGAGGACGGGAAGGTAGGCAGGCGCCGTGACTAACTGTTGTGTACCGTACGTGGCAGGACGGTACCAAGCCCCCTGGATTGGTTTCAAACCTTGATTTGCGGCAGTGACGATGCCGAAAATTGCGTCGCTTGAACCGGCTCGTGGAGAGCTGTGTACAGCGTATCATTCGAGTTTTTGTTTGTCGGAGGGAGTCATACGTAAGAGTGTCTGTCAACTTTCGGCCCGGGGAGTACGGTGTATTTTGCGACCTTGGTGTCGCTCTGTTGGCTGTGTTTTCTTGCAGGCACTATCACTTGGTAGAACGTCCATCCGTCATTGTTTTTGTCGTCGTTTCTTCGTTATTTCTTTTTCCAGCTACCGGAACAAGTGGTCGGAATGGCGGAAGGGTCGAACATCACCACAGCTGAAAAGGAAGCGATAGCCGAAGCAGTCATGGAGAGGCGAAGGCTCATGTCGCCGGGAGGGGTGGGAGAGTCTGGTGAGAGGGCCTAGAGCGGTACATGTAGCGTGGCGGTGTGTTTGCCCCGTTTCGTGTGTAACGGGCGAGACCATGTGGGTAACTAACTGGTTTCAGTAGGATAGCCTTCAGATTTCCCGCCTTCGAGCTTTATGTGTTTTTGATATAAAGTGCCGACGTATTTATTGTTTTTTTGCTCGTACGTCAATTGGTGCTGCGGAAAGGTTTGGCCCAATGCTGCAGCAGTAGCTATGACGGGCTAGGAGGCCAGGGGTTGGACAGAGAACTGAGGTTAGATTTGCTGTCTGCACCCAAACCCCTGTGCCTGTTGGAAGGTACCGACATGTTGGAGGGTACCGGCGTCATTGATGGCACGCACCTGATGACAGCAGCTGCACCACGATTGCCGCGAGCCATGACGCATCTGTTCTGTGTTGGCTTGGGGTGTTAATGTTAACAATGCCAACGCTGTTTTTACACCACGCCAACCCCGGGGGCCTTGCCTTGTCGTGGTTGTACTGTACTCCGCTCGTAGCGGGGAGTGCCAGCCTACCACACGCTCGACAAAGCGGCGGCGGCGGCGGCGGCGGGAGCTCGGAAAGGCTGTTACCGCTGCCGCGCTCGATGGCCATGGCTAGGGGTACAGCGCCGGTGACGTCGGATCTGATGAGCGGCCACTTCGCGTACGAAGAAGCTACAGAAGAAGAGGACGATGACCAGGACGATGACGAGGACGAGGAGGAAGAGGAGGGGAGTCAAGACGAGGGCGGGGGGTTGGCGATGCAGGGGGTAGTGCACGCCAGAAGGCTACAACCACGCGACGGCATGGGCCCCTCCTCGTCTGAAGATGGGGGCCGCGGAATGGCGGCGGGGGGAGGGGAAGCGGTATCCCTCGCGGCTTCCTCCCAAGTTGGGGCCGTCCCGCCTTCTTCGCTGGGGGGAGGGGGGGCGGGAAGAGGGGGGGGTGGGGTGGGGGGGAGCTCGCGGGCAGGAAGGGGGGCCGGCAGGGGGGGGCACCAGAGGTCTTCCCGGGAGGAGCAGGTGGGATACGCGAATGCCTGTACCTCGCACTGATGTGATTTACTGGCCCCCCTCTCCTGATTTTCACCCCTCCCTCCAAAGAAAGGCCAGCAACAATGTCTTACTCCACGGCGTTTGGCGCACAAAGCCGCTACACCCGCATGGGTGTTGGCAGCCCGATATTTCGATATTTCCAAAAGCAATCGGGGTTGGGTTCCTGGTGTATTCCAAGTACATGCCATCGCTTCAACTCTTCTTCGGCTCGGCTTGATTGCGCATCCCGAACCTGCCTCCTATGCACCGCCTCTGGCGCCACTCTGTCCACCCGGGCAGGCATTGTTTTGGCAACAACGCCCTTGTCTCGACTACGAAGGAGTAAAGCAGAGCTATGCGTACGAGTGAGATGTTTCCCCTATTCACTGCTGGAGCAGCAGACGCTGCTGTGTTGGCTTTTCGTTGTTCAGGTCTCCAATATCCAATATTCGCGCCAGCCAAGTAGCCGACACCAACGGACATTACCACCCCCTAGCCCTAGCCCGGCTTCGTAGGGATCCGAGGTCAATGGTTTAGTGACTACGGTATGAACGGCCATGAGTACACCGCCCCACCTCCGTCCCCAACCACAGACGAGCTCTATGGTGTAACGACTACGGCATGCATGTAAACGAGCACACCCCCCTCCCCCCCCCACTGGCCCACATTTTCACCACCGACTCGAATCTCAATTGCGCCGCGCCTGACTGACCCTCCACCCTCCGTCCGCCCACCACCAACAAGATGGCCTCTTCACGGAGGCCAGCGTCATCCCCGTCCCACGATCACTCGCTGGCTGCGGCGGAACTATCCCGCCTGAGGATCGAGCTGGACCGAGCGCGGAAGTGCGTGGCCTGTCTCTCGAGAGATCGAGACACGCTGCTGTTCCCCTGCAAGCACTTGGTGCTGTGTAGCCAGTGCTACACCCGCGTGGTGCGGCAGGCGGAGGACGACGCGGTGGGGGTGGACGCGGCGGCGGGAATAGGCGGGCCCCCCGGGGTGCTCGGGACCGGGCGATGCCCCACCTGCCGGGCGGACATCTGCGGGCATCTCAGCGGGATAGTGATCAACTAAAGTGGTTTGGCTGATTTGCGGGCAGGTGGAAGAGGAGGGGGCCTGGAGACGAGGGGGAGCTGCTTCTTTTCCTTGTGCGGAGGGCAGATGGTTACACCGAGGGGACAGGCGAGCATTTACAAATGAGGCGGCGCTAAGGGCTCAGGCTGGAGAGGCATGTCTCGCCGTTCGAGCTTTGTTGGCTGCAGTCGCTCAGGTCAAGCGGAGGGGGGGGTGAGCGAGTCGTTGTCTGTGGTGGAAGTTACTCCGCGAACCGGTTGACCAATAGGATGGAAAGGGGCTTGAATCGCCAAGGGGTGACAAAATGCCTCCCGTTTTGTGAACTCCCACGTGAAAGGGACCAAAGGGAGAGACCGGGATGGGTCATTCCATCAGGCCTACTGCCGTAGAGGTCGGGTGTGTACATGCATGGGAGTAGGCGCAGGGGGGGGGGGGGGGGGGGGTTTTTTTGAACATGAAGGGGAAAAAAAAGGGCGGGCCGCCCTTTTGTTTTGGGTTTTGGGGGAAAAAATTTTTGGGGGGGAAAAAAAACCCGGGTTTTGGGGGGGGGGGGTAGTGGAATATATTTGGGGGCAACCGGGGGGAAGGAGGCCCCTTGGGGGGGGGGGATGGGTGGGGGGTCTTTTTTTTTCAAGGGCCCCCAAATTTTTTTTCGGGCGGTGGGGGGGGGGGCGCCCCCCCCCAATTAAGGACTA